TGCTTCAGAAGATTGGAGACTGAAGAGAATTAGGCTGGGGGTGGATTAATGATTGTGCATTGAGCATTAACTCCCCTATACAGAATTTTATTGTTGTTAACAACCATTTGATCAATAAATATGAGAGATGCCCTCTCAAAAAAAAATAGTAATAATATATCAGAATTACAATAAGAGCCTGTGAACAAATTTTTGGTTAACAGGTTTTTAATAAGCTGTGATGCAATTCCTAATGTAGAAGACTTAATTTAATTATAAGAGATAGCCTGCCTCTAGTGGAAATTTGTCTGGGTGTGTCTTTATTCCATAGTGAATTAGGAGGTTTATATAGGATTAGATTGCTGAGATTCTTGGTGCAAACACATATCTTTATCTCTTGTAGCAAAGCAGGGAATCTGCCAGAAACAAATTTCACTTAAACTGAGCATAATTTTTATAATTTCAGGGGTTAAGCATCTGAAAGGCCAGAGTGAATCAGCATTCCCTGAAGAAGAAGAAGGTGGGAATGAAAGAGAGGAGCAATGGGACCATTAATCACAGGTCTGCCCCAAGACAGTTTCTTGGGAATAACCGAACTATTCACTCCTCTGAACCTCGCATGGGACGCCACTGCTTGACTTCAGAAGCGTTGTCTATCTGTGCCCTCCACACTCATACAGTAGTAACACACCTCCTGGGAAGCCCTCTTTGGTTGAACTTTAGAGCTAAGTACAGATGGTTCTGTATTACTTACACTTAAGGAACAATAAGCATTTATTTTATGGTGATTTTTTTCTTTTTAATGACCTAGACATTTGCAAACACGTGAGTGTTCTAACTTTAATACTGCCGAGCTTAATCCTTACATCCTACAGATAGGATTTGCCTTCTAAGGTCAAATGTAAATAGCATCACTTTAAGAGTAAAAAAATAAATATTAAATACATTTAGACATGAGTGTGTGTCTGGTTTTAACTTACAGAGGAATGTTTAATGAAACTTCTAAGTTAAGATCTGCATTTATATGTCTGTATCCAAAATGGTACATGGTATTTGTTTCAAAATGATGAAGAAGTAACAGATTTCTTGATTCAGAAGACCATAATAGATTAGTCTTTAGATATTAAACATCTTTTTTCCTCCAACCATGTTAATGGTTAGGGCCACAGTATTCCCTGCATTATTACACTGTGAGAGAAAGATTTCCCAGCATTTCCACTAGCTATGAAGACAGAAAATCCTAAATCTAAAATAAAATATGCCAAATCTACCCTGCCACATTTTTTTTGGCTATTACTTGAAAAATGAGCTCTTCCCATTGCATTTTAATGAATCACTAGCATTTTATAAATCTATTATTGTAAAATAAAAACTTCCATTAATTCATGCATGTAATCATGCATTCAACAGCTATTTTTTATGAGTCTTTCAGAACCCCCGTCCTTTTGCTGGGGTTATGAAAATAAAGGAAAGATCATTTCTCCCCTACAGAACTGGCAGAGGAAATAAACCATTTGGTAAAGTAGGGGTTTGTAGGACAGTACATATTCACTGATTATGGCTTTGATAATTAAAAGTTCTGGCCTCTGGAACAATATTATTTATGGCATTTCAATGTAAATGTAAATGGCCATGGAAGAATGCCCAATTTGTTTCCCACTCTGATTCAGTTTCATGGATGAAAAACAAATAAAAAGATTTCTTAAAAGTCAGAAAAGAAGGAAATCAAGACAAAATCATATGTGAAATCCACTCTGGGATCTTAGCATCAAGATTCAAAGAAGTCAAATTATTGTTTCTGATATTGAATCCAAGTTCCATAACATGGGGATTAAGAGAAAATTTTAAATCTGTAGGACAATACAGCAGAGACAACAATTGTTTTTCTTAACTATATTTTCCTCGAGAAAATAAATGCAAACATCTTCGAGTAGCATCACAAGTCTGAACGATACCTTAGCTCCATGTTCCTACCTTCCCTCTGTTTGTGCATCTTTCCTTCTCCCTTCCTTCCTTTCTCTCTAGCCTCCTGACCATGGCCTTTTTTGTTTTGTTTTGTTTTTGTTAAGCCACCCCAAACTTTCTGGAATTTCTAGACCACCTGCTGTAACGATTTCATTTCCTAAGTTTCTCTTTACTTAAAATCTGATTAAGGCACATATTTGTTATAAGTGATTTTGAATTACTTGTGTTTGGAAAACATCCAGATACCCCTTGAGATTATTTGAGATACCCTGAGGTCCTAAAAAATAAAAATTTCCCTTCTCTTTCCTTGAACAGATGCTTTCATAAATGTTTTTTCAGAAGGATTCAGACAAACAAAAGAAACCAAAGCTTTTGCTGATTTGGTAACATCATTTAAGGAAATAAATAACATGGAACCTGGATTCTTCTATTCTGTTCTCCATTACTAAAAACACAAAGAGATCGAAATTAAAAGCATCAGTTTTCAGAGGGGGCAGGGCTCAGGCTGCCGGAGCTGGGAGGGGGGAGGATAAGTTTTCCTTAGGAAATGCTGTTTTCTTCAGTCTTGTTCTCTATTCTCAAAACAGAGAGAAAACAATTAAAAGCCTAAGTGTTCTTTGGAAAATGTGTTGGCTTTCTCAGAAATTTGGAGGAAATCAGCTGTGATAATGGCTTTTCAGTTTCCTTTTCTCACAATCACAGTTTAAAACAAAATTTTTTTAAGAAGACAACTTGGCTTCAGTTTGGCTGAGTGGGAAAAGAAACTTTCTGACCAAAACAAAACAAAAACTCTACCTTCCCAGACCCCATTTGTAGCAGATAAGTCAGTGGTTAGTAGATGGGCTTTGCATCACTCTGACTTAGTTCAAATTCAATCTCCACATAATTTTAGAATCAGTCTCTCCATCTGTAAAATGGGTACAGTCCTACCTACCCCTGTTGGGTTACTATGAAAATGGGTACAGTCCTACCTACCCCTGTTGGGTTACTATGAAAATTAAATGAGATAAGACCTATTAAAATGCTTAGCCCAGCTTAGTGAGCATGTAATAATTGATGCTTATTATTATCAGGGTGAGGAAGGACCTGAGACAATTTATGCAAATTTACATCTGATCCATGATCCTCTTCACGTCACAGACAGATGTTGATCACCTCACTTCTTGAAGAACTTCAGCTGAACTCCATAAGCAGACAGAGCTCTAATTGCTCTTCTCTGTGTTCAACTCTCCTCCTTTCCTATGTCACATCCATTCAGATACTGAAGAACATTGTCATCTCCTAAGTGATTCCATCTCTGTGATAAAATAGCACCAGGTCCTCAAAACCTTTCCTCCTCATCCTGGCCACTTGCTTTTGGCTTTTGGTCCTCTTCCAACAGTGTCACTGGATCTAAGAAAAGTCATGTCAGGTGGATAAGGTGGTGTGGGGTTTTTTTTGTTTGTTTGTTTTGTTTCCTTTATCCCCCTACACCTGAGAAATTGAAGCATAACGTGGCAAAAGAGAGCAGGAATCGGGGTCAGAGTTTTTAATCTAGGCCATCCATTTTTAATTTTTGCCAATGTTTTCTAAATTGTGAAAACAGATTATTTTAAGTTGGCCCAGGACAAATTATTTTTATTTTCATATTGATCAATACTATTATACTATATATTAGAAAAGATACATAATCAGCAACCCCAAATTCATGATTTGATAGCTATTGTTGCTTGGGATGAGGCAAGCTTAATGTGTGAGCAGATTTTAAATCAACTTAAGGAAAAATATTAAGTAACTACAGTAGAGGTGGTACCTCAAAATCACAAAAATGATACACAGTTGAATGAAGTTTTGGAAATGCTGGTTTGTGATATTGTCATGGCAAATAACTTAAATGTAGGTATCACAGAGTTCATTTAACTGCAATATGGATTCATGAAGTCATAAATAAACCACTTACACTGTATTAATTGAGAAATTCTCTATTTTTTCATCCACATCTAAAAGCAGTGTAAGTGTAAACTAAACAATAGAAAAAGCATATCTAACTACATTAAAGCATTTGTGTTTATATGTAATTTTGAATATTTGCTTTCTCTGAAGAAGAAATGCCCCTACTTTTCTAAGTCTGTGATTCCAAAATCTTGTCTTCAAGGCATATTATTTAAAAATGTCTATGTTGCTGAAATATGCAATCTGTTAAAGAATTAAATTGTTAGATTTCATAACATGATAACACTCTGAAGAACAAAATATCAGAGCTTTGAAAATGATGGAGGGCATCTGTGGTTTTAAGTGACATTGTAGTAATTAAGGTATTAAACTGCAAACATCCCACATAATTCACACAACAATGGTGGTAAAGTTATCACTTTGCAATGTTGTGTTAATTAAATGAAATAATATATATGAATGCATAGGTGCCTGTTTGCCTTTTGTAAATAGGCTACCGTTCAACTGTAGAACTTTCCTTGACATTTATATTGTGAGGCCCCTTTCTTCTGTAGACACAGACATGGTGCAGGCACTTTCCTCACTGCATTTCAGACGTAGTTTATGCAGCGAATGGAGATGTGCTCCATAGAGGGGAGATGAGCATGAGAGTCGATTAAAGAGAAAAGCAAGCAGAGAAGGGAACTCAGAGAAGCGTGGGGAATTTGAAGAAAAAACTGGAGAAAGTAAGTTAATACGGGATTCTATTCATTTTCATTTTTTGTTTCTCACTCTACAGATATGACTTAGTATTTTTCCCCTTTTCTCTGACTTTTAGTAAGAACAAGGCTAGCTTGAGGGAATGAGACAGTGAATCCCAGGAGTATATGATATTACCATATTACAATCTAAAAGTAACAGAATATTACAGTATGTTCAGCAAATGATTCTTCATTATTATTAAGAACAAATATTTGGCAACAAATCATAGAAAACCAGGAAAACAATGGCCTAGAGATTTGTTTCTGTCATGCAATAAAATGTCCAGGGCTGGAATTGTGGCTCAAGACACAATGAGCATGCAGGTACTTTTCATTTTCCTTACCATTCTCAAACTTGTTACTTCTTGGTCCCAAGAAAGTGCTACTCCGGGCATCCGGTTTGTGTTAAACAAAAAGAACAGTGGGAAAAGGGAAAGAATGTGCAGCAGAGAAGCAAAGCCATCTCCAGAATCCCTCAGCTAATGCCTCCTGAGACAGTGCTGTGTCACGAGACCACCCCTGGATGCAAAGGAGTTGGAGAAAATTAAGTATTTTTAACCAGGTACCTTGTTACCTTCCAAGTAAATTAAGGTTTTGTCTGTAAGGTATAAAGTGAGTATGGGTAGCAGTTGAGTGGCCTGCAGTCTCTGCGTCCCAGAATGAACAGAATTCAGGGGCTTTCTTCTTCCCTGGGGCATCTAGAGGAAGCACTGGCTACTTATACATGTCAAGGAGTTGAAAACATTAACACCCACTAGGTAATTCTGCTACTGAAATATGCATAAACTAAGTTAATGTTTATGATAGACCTGCAGCTAGATAGAACAATTTAGATACTGTTTAGGATTTTATATTAATTTTCATAGGATAATTTGGGTGTAGTTTATGAAAGTATGCTTTAGAAGCAGGACAAAAAATATTCTGGTTTATTATTTGATAAATATATATGAATATCTATGACATGCTAGACATTGTTTAAGTGCTGAGCATACAGGTATCAACAAGGTAGTTAAGGTCCTTAAATCTCTGGACATATATTCTAGTGTCTGAAGACTGTCAAGATACATGTAATCAAATAAATGAGATTTCAGGTGGTGATGATTAACTGGAAGGAAACTGAACAAGGTGGCACTCCTCTTTAATCATAACTGTGACCTTGGGAAGGTCCTCGAATCACTCTGGGATTCAGTTTTCTGATCAATAAAATGCGGAGAATGATATGTGGGTGACCAGGTGACCACGTGAGGCTCCTTCCGACTCAAGTATCTGTTTCTCTCCTTGGATTCTCTTTCAGGAACCTCAGGCAAAGATAA